ACTAGAAATAATACTAAGCATGCGTAAAAATTTAAAAAAAATCCTGCTTTATATCAAGGAACACTGGCTGTGTCTTCAATTTTAAGCGAACATCATAAGAGATTTGACACTACCGACTGATCCGTAACTCGTTTAAAGACATTACATATCGGAAGACGAAGAATGAGGGTGTGAAATATCATTTTTAACCTGGCCGTTAGTTCCTAACTTTTCAGTTTGTGGTCGTGTTACATAAAGAAATTGTAAAGACAAGTGGACATAATGAGACCAACTCATTTCATCGACGCCTTGATTAAGTTCACTGAACCATCGACAGACACGAAGGTCATAAGACAGTTATTGTGTATAGCGAACAGTTCTGTGGTTTTTATTGTGAAATGCAAAAATTACGTGCTGACCGAGGATTACTTTAATTATTGTTTGTTGTTTGCCAAATAATCGCAGTAATTTCACCGAAGGTCTATTTGGGATAAGCAAAAATCTATTAGTCTACTTGTCTGTCAATAATAAATTATTATGAAATTCATAGAATAAACATTTTGTGTTTTCATTGTTGCGGAATAGCAACAAGATAACCTTCTTTTAATTGAGTTCCACGTGTGCTTGTTAAAAAAGCAACCCTATTTTCTATTCACCATTGTCTTTTGCGCGTTTTCGCCCTACATTGTTCAGTTCCACACCACCAACAAATTATAAGTCTCCCAGTTTTACACTTCTCTTTAAGATAATTTGAGCAGAAGCTGCCGGAATATTTAAGTTAGTGGAGTATTTATTATGCATTAGTAGAGAATCATGAAATATTTACTAAAAGCTCAGAATATTCTTAAGCATGCATTATTGGGCACTAAAAAAGAATTATTCATAGAAACTCTTGTTGTGTAGAATTGCTGAAACCTTTTTTATATCGGATTAAGAGATGAAATTGAAGTACGCTATAATCAACATCAACTGACTTCAGTGTGGGTTTTTTGGGTTACGGTACAAATTGTGTTCTGAAATTATATAACCTAGCTCTCTACGGTACAAAAATGTGTGTAAATACACATTATCGAGAAGATTCCACTTACATTACTGAAGGTATTATAACCTGTGACCTTAATGACAATAGACGATGAAGATTGCCGACAAAAAAGTTAAAAAAACTTTCAGAAAGCTCGCTAAAATCAAAGACCTGGGCGGCCGTTTTCCGAAGATGAGTCCTGTCCTCGTCTTATACATACCACATTTTATGCAATAAATAAAAGAGTACTTACCGAGGAGAATACTGTGGGCCCTCCATTGTGTCTTGCCCTTTTGTCTGTTTACTCGACAACGCATCCGCACATTAGCTCCCTCCAGCACTTCATACCGGTCCGCCGGCAGCTCGGAGAAACACTGACGTTGCAGTCTTTCATCCGTTGGACTACAAACCGAGGATTGGAATGACTCCGCGGTCACATCCTCAGCCAGAGCACTGGGCAGCGCCAAACTGCGAAGGCTTTCTACATCCGGCAGGGAGGCCATGTCGACGCCGTTGAAGGAGGCACGGTCGGTGGAGAGAATGTCGAGATCAGCGAGGGTGGACCAGGGAGGAAAAAGAAAGGGAAACGTCCACAACGTAAGCAGTGATAACTGCCAGGACATGGTATTCCCTAGGCAGTTGAAGAACAAAATCACAAGGGTTGCTGGGGCTTTGTAGATATCCTCTAGGGCTCCTGCGCTTGACTGACAGCCAACTGCCAAAGTGCAGGAAACTCAATTTTACGGCACTTCTCTGCGGTTTTTGGTTCTTTTTCTCCTCTCGCTCTCTCCAATAACCGGTTCCTACACAGGACTTAACGACTGCGCTGTGTGTGCCCACACCTTGGAGCCAGCAGGTAAACCGACAAGCCAGAAAGACAAACCGGGGTGGCGTGCGAGGGGAAGTGCTGATGGTGGTGGTGGTAGGGCAAGCAAAACCACTACGTCGTTTTCGCTGGCTGATTTTGGCGCAGTAGAAAAGCCTACGGGGAGAAGCGAGGCACGGGAGCGATTAGTGTCTGCAATTACAACACAGCATAAGTCGGTCACAGCCAACGCCGCCGATCAGGGCAACATGCCTGGCGCCCCAGGATAAGACAGCTGCGCCTT